TTACAGATGGAAAACAACCATGTGAGTGGCAGTTTAGCTCGTTTTCCTGTTGTTGCAGGTATCTTTTTGCCAGTCAGTAGATTTGTTAAGGCACTGCCCAAGCTAATTTTGAATAGCTCAGTGAGGACTAGCAGAAGCCTTTGGGCAGCTTCTCCTCCCTCTATGTGATGTACCAGATCAGAGAGACCTAAACTATCAATTCTGTCTTGTCATCTGTGTGTGTGTTTGCACTTAATTTTGCCTTCTACAACCTTTCATTGGGTTTTGTAATCTTCTGTGCAAGTAACAGGCGTTCTTAGTGTTTTCTTGCACTCCACTAACAAATTACTGTTTTGCACAGCAGCTCAGAAGTTGCTTTTTAGGTCTCACTCATCTTGGCCTTTCATCTTTAGTGCTGGCCTGCAGAAAAAAAATATTTTCCAGCAAAGTTAGTAATGCAAATTATTCAACTTGCATTAACACATACTTCGTAATTTTTCTGTCTTTACAGCTTCTCCTGGCAATAGAAATAAATTACAGCTGCTAGAATATAGTGTTATTCTTTCTCTATCTGAGTTAGGGAAAAGTGATTAATTTTCTCTCTTTCTTAGCAAAAGAGGACACTGTTCAGTGAAGCAAAACTTATTATAGCTAAAATTAACTGGAGGAAATACAATCCATAATTAAGCCAGGTTACTTAGTGCCACAGATGCAGTATGAAGAGTATTCCAACTGTATTAGCATGACAGGAAAACGGGGACATCACAGGTTTTGGAATGCCAATTGCCACACAAACTTGGCACAGAATCAGTGAAGGCTATGGGACATTGAATCTGCACAATAAGGCAGAAGAAACTTTTAAATAAAGCTGATAAACTTTTACACTATAAATACAGTTGTAAGGGAAAAGCAGCATTTTAGCTAGGCTGATAAATGGGCTCTGATTAGAAATTAAGTGGTGCTCCTACAGAATTCAGCCATTTCTCAGTAATTAGGACATTCCTTAATGAAGTGGACTGTGGTGCAAAGCAAGCAATTCAGGGCTGTATGCTTATTTATCTGATTCAAGTGCATTAGCTAAATGTCAGTGTTTTTGCCAGCAGCCCATGCTGCAGCCATCAGAGCTGTGACGAGTCCTGCCTCCCCAGCTAACAAACAAGGAACAGGCTGGGGCAGTGGGGAGGAGACTGCTGAAGGCATAGAAAATGCTGTATTTAAACAGTTGTGTTTGCTTTTCTGTTTAAAAAAAAAAAAAATCTTGAAGATCTCCTTTCTGCCAGAACACAGGCACTTTGCAAACGCTGCCAACACAAACCCCTGCGAGCCAGCCAGCTGACATCAGCTGACCAAGGACATGGGGGGACTTTGGACATTTTATCCATTCCTCCTCCTCAGACAGACTGCCTTTTGTCCTGGCCATCTGACCAAAACAAGATCATGAGTAAAAGCAGAAGCTGCCTATGGAAGATGGGCTTGTGTCAGTGCAATCAGGGATGCACAGCACCAGGAGGGAAGGACCCAACAGGATGTGATCTCTCAGATATTTCCATTGGAGATGGCCAGTTCAGTCTGGCCTGTACTGGTGATGAGGAAAAACAGTCTCATGTCCTTGCCTAAATTAAATGAGCTGGACAATTTCTGTATGGCTGAAGCAGGTGATGTTTTGGAGCACAAAAGTTGCTACTGCAAGGAGAGCAAACTCTAAGGACTGAAGCTGAGGTTGCAGCATCTTTGGAATGACATCTGTGCACTCAGGGCAACCACAATTCATCTCAGACATGGGACAGGAAGTTCTGTTTCCCAGAGTCAGGTTAGCCAGAGCTCACAACACAGATCCAAAGTCCCTTTTATGGCTTTGCACCCAGTGGAAGGAGGAAAGAAATGCATGCGAGGCTGGTAAGTCAGGTGATCCCTGATTGTTTGCAACAAATCCCAACCATCAGAAAGACCAACACAACTGCACTGAGTGGCTCTGCTGAAAACAGCAGTTTTCAGTCTAGCCCTGGGAGACACCCAGATGTCTTGTGTTATCAGGCCTTACCTTCTGGAAACTTTTCCATGCCAGATACTTGCAGAGCAAGCTGAGGCCATAGGGAGCAAGGTCCAGGGAGCCGTACTGGCCCACAGAAGTTGCCTTTCACATCACTCAAGCAAGGGCTGTTTTAATGTGGGGCCAGCTCTAATACAAAAGGGTTATGTCCATGGCAATTGAAATCTGCAAAAAGTTTAATATTCAGACCCTCAATACTGCAAATACATTTCAAACATTCTTGTGTCCCAGGATAATAGCTACATAATTAGGGCAAGCCTTTCACACTTTCTCTTTGATCCCACTGGACTTATTTACCAAAAGTCATTGCACGGATGTGCCCAGCAAATGTCTTACAGAAGAGCTTGTAACAAAATTAAAAGCTTAAATATAGAGATCCTCTCTCCACTAAGTACTGGGTTTTATTAGAGCTGGGAGTTGCTCATGCTTCACCCCTTGCAGCCTCTTTGAATCCTCTGTTTGACATTTCAAAAGTGCCATGCAGGTTCTAATACACATTACACAGAAAGAGCTATTATAAAATTCCTGACTTTTTCTTGTTTGCATGACAAAGGGGGAATGGCAAATCCTCCAATTGGACCAGATAATCACTCTCCTGTGAAAAGCCTCCAATATACATCCTCTGTTTTCTTCTTAGCTGAGCTTCAAGTGTGTTTGGTCAATAATTTTATTTCGGGTGTGAAGCCCATAAATCACCTCCCAATACACATTGGACAGTGGAGAGTCCTGGTGTATTTGGCATCAGCCACAGGAGAAAGCACATCCAGATACAGGAAAGCTGGGTGCTGCTGGAGCAATCAGACATTTTAGTTTCATGTTGTCATGGTCTTTTGAAGAACACTCACTGCAGAGTAGGACCACTCTCTGGGGCAAAGACAAATTGGATGGATAAATAATCATGGAATTGTGTCTTCTGACATAAGGGAGAGACCAGTACAAATCCTTGGACTGCAATTTTATCCAGGTGACCATACAAACCTAACAAATTCCCTGCTGCAACTGAGCTGGACAACATTTTGAGAGTCCATGTGCAGAAAGGTTTGTCAGCCATCTGAACATTGCTCAGGTGGTTTCCAAGCCTCTGACACAGCCCACTGTGTGACCAGCTCTTTTCCCCCAGCCTCTAGGAATCCATTTGGCTGGAGAGACAGTCCTGAGGGAAGAGCTGGGTGTATGGATTTTTCCTAGAGGAATGAGGGAAGTCACAAAGATTTCAGGAAAAAACCTTCCCTTTTATTCACAGGAGTGTTTGACATGAGCTGAACTCGAAGCTGACAAATGAAGTGGATATTTTTCACTGCTGTTTGTGTCTTGGGAATGGATGTATTTTGAAGTAACACACAAATGCATGTCTAAAATTCATCTCTGGAGAAAGATGCTACACAAAGTGCAGGATTAAAGAATGCACTGCCTTGGGCCATGCACAGGCTGTTACTTTGTAGTCTGTTCCATTTTCCTCTTAAAACTCAATTTAGCTAAATAAGGTGCCCTTTTAGCATCTAACAGAGGCTTTATCATGCTTAAGAAGACAAGTTTCTTAAAAGGCTGTAAAGACAAAGTGAGCAGTAACAGAAGTGTTGAGTGGGGCTCTTTCAGACGGCTTTATTGCCTTCCCCCGAGTACAACCCAGGCTGCCTCCCTCAGCTGACACTTGTTTTAATGAGGGATGAGCCACAAAGGGGTGATTTTGTACAAGTTCATTACATCCATCCTCCAGCCAGACTGTCCTCAGGGCACACCATTCAGCCTGGGCACTGGGTGAAACTGGGCCAATTTAAAATCATTTACAGAGGCATATAAATCCAAAGGGCCTTTGATGCTGAAGACATTTGTCTGTAGGCTCAGGTATGTGGCTGCTGGAGAGGATGAGAGTCTCCCCCAGGTGCCATGCTCCTTCGTGCTTTTAACAATCACATTTTATTCCTTCAATTCAATTCTCCTGGGATTGGTGCCAAAAATAGATTTCCACACCTTATGCCAGCAAAGGCTGGGGAAGAAAAAGGTGTAAGTTTCCAGTTTAAATGTTACAAGGTAAACATCCAACCTCCTCACCCCAGCCTTCAGATCAGATTCACTCTCCAGAGCCAGTGCTCTATTGTGGCTGTTAACAGCATTCAAAAAACTGATATTCTTCATCCATGCTAGGGAATAGTGCAGTGGTTTCTCATGTTCACTGAGAAGTGATTTGCCTTTACATAAACCCTATTCTTCTAGGCATGAGTATTATGAAACACCCAGGAATCCAGAAAGAGTGATGGGGAGTTTTTCTACCATGTCACACCCCGTACATCCTCCACCTTCTGTGATTCAGGAGCAGCACAAAATCCCATAAATCATTCAAGTGCTGTGACTCACTGCCCTGATTCATACACTTGATACAAATATTCAGAGATCAAAGTGGAACCTTAGACCCCCCAACCCAAGGATTAAAATGATTTTTCAATGCTTGCCATAAAAATGGACTTTCAGCTAAAGCTAAAGCTTCTCCTGATCGTTATTGGCAAGTTCTCTGCAGCAAAGATTGATGTTGCTTTGAGGAATCATATGGTGTGGCACATAAAGCAATGTATTCTGCAGTTGTGCTTCCTCCCTTCAGGGCTGAGCAGGGGGCACTCATTGCTCAGGGGGCTTCTGGACAAATATTTACAGGGAATTAAAAGAGAAAAAAGGAAATTTCTTCCCCGTGACGGAATCTAGGAGCCCCCTAAACCCTCCTGTATTAACTTTGCAGCGGATGAAGGTGTTAAACTGGCATGTGTCTACCAACAGGGGAGTGACCCTTTCAAGTCCTTTGCTTCGTCCCCACTTGTGAAATTTGTTGTGCCAGTGGGACGAGGCTGGCTATAAAAGCCCAGCACCGGGGACCTCCACCCAGCTCGGGCAGGCTGCCAGCACATCTCTGCCGAGAGCAGCCCCGGGGAGATCCCCCCTTCACCTCTGCCGGGCCGGGAGCTGCTTCTCTGACAGGAGGATGGACCTGAGGTGTGCCTGGATGCTCTGCGTGCTCGGCCTCGTCCCCACCGCCCGAGCCTTTACCCAGGAACGCTTCAAGGAGGCGGTGCTGAAGCAGCTGGGGCTGTCCGAGGTGCCTAAACTCCATTCGGGAGACTTGGTGGATGTGGTTATCCCAGAGCACGTCAAGAACAAGTACATGTCCATGCTGAAGCGGCAGAGGGTGAAGCGCCGAGCCCTGCCCAGCCTGGCTGGCATCCTCAGGGGCATCCCGGGGCACACAGGTAAGGTTTCTGCATCCCAAGAATCCCAAGCGTCCTGCTGCCTCCAGGGGAATCTGCCAGGGCTCTCCCGGCTGGCAGCAGCATGGGCAGAGGCAAAACCCCGAGGGGAAAAGGGAATGAGGGGCGGGTTTGGCTCCAGACCTCGTGCAACAAACATCCTAAAGATTAACAAATCACCCTTTGCACCTGGAGAGGGAGTCCCGCAGTCCTTCCAAGGGACAGGATGCTGCTGGAGCTTGATACAAGCCTTGGTACCCTGGGAACAGTCGGGGCAGGTGGGGGGAATAAAAAAGTGCAAGCCAAGATTTTGGGTGAAATCTATAGCATGTTCTCTAATAGGAATGACACCTCTTGGAGAATGTTTCACTCCCGCTCATCTCTTTTTTGTTTAGGTTTTTTTTTTACAGGAAGAATTACCAAGGAGAAAAAATAGCCACACAGATACAATAGTGGCTGTACAAGGGCACTTAGATCTTATTGTGCTTTCAAAGGACATACGCAGCACCCTGGGCAGCAAATGAAAATACTTTTTCATTCCAAGTGGTGCAAATACTTTTTCATTCCAAGTGGTGCAGTTTCCTGCTTTCATGCCCAGCACTGGCACAGAGGTGCACACTTTTAGAGGTCATATTATGCCGGAGATTTGGTTCTTCCAGGCTGCAGAGGCTCAGACATGGGAGAATAATTCAGGCATTTGCAAGACATTGATTCAAGCATGCATTAGAAAAGGTGTGTTTAGTGGCTGTCTCTGCCACTGTGAGCATGGAAGGAGTGTGTTGTGATGATAATTGTGCATGAAACGTGGCAGCTTTTCTCAGCAGGGTGGCAGTGACAGGCCATCCTTTTTGTCCCCAACTGCACAGGTATGACAGGGGAAGTCCTCTACTCCGACACAACCACACGCCAGAGGCTGATGTTCGACATGGAAGGCAGAATACCCAAAAACAGTGAAGTGACGATGGCTGAACTGAAACTCTTCAAGAAGCCTGTGGACAGGGCAAAGCTGCCTGCCAGGCAGTCCCACAGGCCCGTCTCTAACGCCAGAGTCAGCGTGTACTGGGTGCAGCAGCAGCATGACGGCACCAACAGCACCTCCCTGATAGATTCCAGGTGAGAAAGGGGCCTCTGCTGGAGTTACAGGGTTTGGGTCCTCTGGGGTGCTGTGGGCATCATGTGGTTGTGCCTCAGCTCAGTCTGATGGGGTTTGCATCTGCACAACCCTGTTACATGGCCTCTAAACCCACAATGAGCCTTTAAGAGCAGGTGTCACTTTGAGATGGCAACATATGATGATTCTACGAAATGATATCATGTACTATTACATCTTCTTCTCTGAAATCCCCCACTTGGTTCAATTCTGTGTCACTTATTCAAGTGGGTTACTGGTTGCTGGTCTTCTTTCCCCTGGCCATTTTATTAGCTGGTTTAAACAAGTAAATGATGCAAAAATAATCTGATTCTGTAGTGGTGAGCTCTGTGGAAGTTTTGCAACAAGGTAGAACTAGACTGGACTGGAAACTTATGGCCCCAGTGCAGCTTGGACAGGAGCAGGTGGGAGCCTGGTGTTCACCAAGTGTTGTTGCCAATATTGAGGCTGCACATAACCCTGCATCACCTAATTTTTGGTATGAGCATGTAGAGAGGGTTTTTTCTGGCCCTGCAGTGTCTGTTAGATCCGCATTCATCTTTTTGAGGTGACAATTAACTGCTGTGGGTGCTTGCCCAGAACAAAAATTATCATGTTCTCAAGGCATGTGCCAATCTATGGGATGTAAATTATCCTGCTGCAATAACAGCGCTGCGAGCCCGGGATTTGTCTGATGGGCTTTTCTAACGCCAAGCCCTTGCCGTGCAGGCTGGTTCCTATCCGTGAGTCGGGCTGGAAGAGCTTTGATGTGACCCAGGCCGTGCATTACTGGCTGCGGAGCGAGGGGCGGGGGCCGATGCTGCTGGAGGTGCGGATCGAAGGGGAGAGGCCGGGCAGCCACGCCTCGGAAATGGCCAGAGCCGTGCGCTTCACCTCGCAGCACCCCGGGGACAAAGCCCTGGGCAAGCCCGAGCTGGTGCTCTACACCCTCGACTTGGATGACTACGGGTATGTAGGAAACCTAAATCTGTATGTACTGCCTGTGAAAAACGCCAATGGCTTGGTTTTAAAAATTTAAAAGTCTAATAGTAGTAAAATGGTTATAAAAAAATAGTAATACAATTAGAGTAATAATAATTTGGACAAATTAAATTAGGACAATATGAGGCAATAAATACAAAGAGTTACGGACGTCCAGGTACCTTTTTCTGGGCAGCATAAACCCGAAAAAGGACCCACGTTAACAGAGGATTAACCCTTAAAAGCAACAGCCTGTTGCATATTCATATACTTCATACATGATGCATAAATTCCATTCAAACACAAGATTCTATCTGGTTATCATCAACTTCTTCCTCTGAATCCTAACAGCACCTTCGAGGTGGGAAGAGGTTGGTTTCTTCTGGTAATGGAGCAATAAATTCTCTTTCTCTGAAAGATTTAGGTGTCCTGTGGCTGCTATCTCACTGCAAGCCCTTTCTTTAAAAAAAAAATATCCTACATAGCACAGTTTCTATTTTAACATTTTGTTATAACCTAAAACTTCTTATAACCTAAAACTTCTTAAAGCTTCTTAAGAAAATTAATACAGCATTACTTTCTAACACAACACATATAATATTCATTTTAATATTTGCAAAAAGCCAATTATAAAATACATGCATTTTTCACACTGCCTCTGGTGTAATTTTGTCCTTGAATTATTGATTTTTGTTGGGGGGGAAGAGGGCAAACCCCAAATTACTGGGGGTGGAGAGGGTAGGAAGATCTTACCATCAACGGTGTCCACCAGCTGTGAATGGAGAAGTTAGAAAGCTGCTGCTGAATGTCTCCTATATCTGCTGTCTGAATACCGGAACAAACCCTGAGCAGGCTCCATGTCTCTGAGCCCACCTGTGCTATCAGCAGCAAGGATGATATCTCCCATTCCCCAGCCGCCAGTTGCAGCACCCATTCCTGTTTCTTTTTTGGTGTCCAGGAGCCCTGGGGACTGCAGGGAGGAAACAGAGCCCTTTTATGCTATAAGCAGCAAGGATGATTTCTCCCACTCCCCAGTTCCCAGTTGCAGCACCCATTCCTGTTTCTTTTTTGGCATCCAGGAGCTCCGGGGACTGCAGGGAGGAGGCGTTGCTGGGGAAATCCACCTGCTGCCGGCAGCAGCACTACATCAGCCTGCGGGACGTGCCCTGGGTGCTGGAGCCGGCGGGGTTCCAGGCGTTCCGCTGCTCCGGGCCCTGCCGGCAGCCGCCGCGCCGCCCCGGCTCCGGGCCGCGCTCCTGCGCCGCGGCCGCCAGCTCGGCGCTGCCCATCATCTACCTCGTCAGGAGGGGCAACCACACCGAGGTTGAGGCGGCCGAGCTGCCCAACATGATCGTGGAGAGGTGCAGCTGTGTGGCGGACGGTGTGGCGCTGGTGTGATGGGTGATGGGATGGCCAAGGGCGTCATCCATTCCCCATCCATTCCCTGCAGCCCTGCCAAGAGCCACCCCAGCCCTGAGCCAGAGATGAAGGTCCTGGGGGTCTGCCTGCACTGGGGCCCTGGTGCCCTGCAGAGAGTCCACTTGTCCGTGTAGATGAGCTCAGAGGAGCGTGCATTTCTCATATGTGAAGGGTACCTTAGGAGCCTTGTGCTTCTTGGGGCCTCCTTGATGCCAGCTAAACTTCACTGAATTTATTTCAGCCCCCACCCTGGAGTAATGCAAACACCTCCAGGCAAAAGAACAAAATTCCATTCCTTCACCATCACCAGGTGAAGAGCAAATTCGCGGGCTCAGCTTTTCATTCTTAGGCTGCAGGGTTTGGTCCTGGTCTGCCCAAGCTGTGTTTTTAGTGAGCAGAAGCACTTACATGTATATAAACTGTACACACACAGATGCACACATGTACAGAGTGTATGAATAAATGTGTGTATTGTCTACATACTGAATAGCTACATATTGATTACTTACATATATATATATATGTACATAAAATATTGCCTAGAGCTCAAAGGAGCATATTTAGGTGCATATGTATTGCATGTACATACACATACCTACATGTACATAAAATATTATCTGAAACTCAAAGACTTATATTTTTGGTCCCTGCACCACGGGCTTCACATAGTTTTAGGCAGAATTTAGAGTCCTGGAATCAACAGGAACATTAGGACTTACTTGTGTGAGTAACAGTTTGTTTTTCTGATTCTGTATTACAGTTATTTCAATTTAGGGATATTTTTCAAGTTGTGTGTTCTTTCAAAATCAAGGAAACAATAAAATACAAGTATTAAAGTCACCATGTGTGTGCTTCTATTTATTCTTAGATCTAAAATGGAGGGGAAAAGGTCTATTGTGTTTCTGTGAGTATTCAGTGCCCAGCTCCTACAAACATACAGTAACAGCTCTTCTCAGCTACCTGTGTGATTTTGTCTTCCCCAGAGGCTGGGCTGAATCGGCAGGCAGAGCAGAGCCCACACTGTCAGCGCTTCATCCTGAGCTGCTGCAGGGTTTAAGCCGACACTTTCCTAAAGAGAAAACCCAGAATCTTTTCTGCCAGCAGGAGGTGATGCTCTCCTCGTGAACCTGCAGGGCTCAGCTGCAGCTGCAGTGCAGGAAGGGATGAGCTGCCTCCCATCCCCTTCCTGCCCATCAGAAGCATTTTAACCCTGACCCTTCCTGTTGGACATACCCTGGAGAAACGCTGTGATCCTGTGGTTTAATCCCTTTATGGGCTATTCTGAGCTGCTGGCATGGTGTCACCCGTGCTCATTATTCCCACCTTTGTGTCAGACTCCTCTCCTTGGCTCATAACCCACTGAGGTGGCTCTGGCGATGCAGCATTTGCTGCTGACCGTCTCTGTTGGATGGTGGGATGTGGCTCTGGTTGAACCTGCTGCTGGTGCAAGGACTCTGACATGTGTTTGTCTGGCTGGACAGGGTGACCATGGATGAGGGGGAAAGAGGGACCTGTTTGACTCTATGGCGCTATGTGTTATCCATCAGGAAATCTGAGTGTTCCTGCTGCTCTGCAGGACTCCAGCTCTGAGCTCACCCAGGCATCTCTGCCATCCCCTCATGGTTAGGCTGGCACCTCTCACTTGTGTAAAAATCTGTGGCAAAGGAGCTTAAAGGGTAGGGAAAAAGGCAAAAGCACAGACTCACCATTCACCAGTGCTGGGCTACAGCACGATGAGACATGGGAGTCAGAATTGTAAGAGCCAGGATGATCTCTGGCATTTCCTTCTCATGACTATGGATCTACCCAATGGCTTCGGCATTCCGCCCCAGGTCCTCCCCACCCAGCTGGGGCAGGGCGTAGCCTGAAGGGCAGGAGTTCAGCCATCACCAGGAGGAGCAGAGCTGATGATCCAGCCTCACACTGAGCCTGGGGAACAAAGTGTTTGAGCTGGGGAAGAAAATGTTTGAGCTGGGGAACAAAGTGTTTGAGTTGGGAACAAAGTGTTTGAGCTGGCTGCTGCCTGAGAAAGAAGAGCATTAACCCTGGTTTCCCTCCAACCTCCAGTACTTGCACTTCAGCCATCATTCATGCTCTATCCCAGGGGAAATTCCGTGCAGTGCAATTTGGGGAGGCTGTTGGGGGAAATGGGGAGCAGAGCATCCCAGGAGCTGCTGTGTGGACGAGGCTCCTCCTCCACCAGGATCCTGAGCTGTGTCCCTGTGCTGATCCCTCGCTTTCAGTCTGGCTGCCTTGGCTGGGTGTCCTGCGGACAGGAGGGACACAGAAGCCAGCGGTGAGTCTGTGAGCGTGTCTGTGATACCCCGAGGGTGGGAACAGGGGAGACCTGGTGTTACTGTGGGGAGTGTTAAAAATAAGTTAGAAACTGATGTAAAATTGTTGCTAGATCGTTAAGCATGTACTGTTAGTTGGTTATTGTGAAAAATTCATATTGTATGATTGGCTTTTTACAAATATTCAAATGAATATTATATGTGTTGTGTTAGAAAGTTATGCTGTATTAATTTTCTTAAGCAGTGTGTTAAATATAGTTTTAGGTCATAACAAAATGTTAAAATAGAAACTATGCTATGTAAGATACTTTTTTTAAAGAAAGGACTTGCACTGAGATAGCAGCCACAGGACACCAAAATCTTACGGAGAAAAAGAATTTATTGCTCCATTATCGATTTCTTCCTGCCTCGCTCAGTCCTGAAGACAGTCAGGATTAAGAGGAGGAAGCTGACACTGACCAGACAGAATCCTGTATTTGAATGGAATTTATGCATCATGTATGAAGTGTATGAATATAGACAGGCTGTTGTTTTTAAGGGTTAATCCTCTGTTAACGTGGGTCCTTTTTCGGGCTTATTTTGCCCAGAAAGAGGCACCCGGCCTGTCCATAACTCTTTGTTTTTATTGTCTCATATTGTCCTAAATCCTGACTGTCCAAATTTTTATTCCTCTAATTATACTACTATTTTTATAACAATTTTATTACTATTAAACTTCTAAAATTTTATAAAGAAGTGATTGGCGTTTTTCACACAGTTATTATTTTGTAAAAGGGGTTAAAAGGGTAGTTGTAAGAAATAGAGTACTCAACGAACCATAACACACCTCAGAAAAGTGCATCCCTCCCCAAGGGAAACGAGCCAGCCTGCACAGAACTGTAATGGGCCAATTAAACGCTTTAAACCTTCATGCAAATGAAGGATCCAAAAAGAACCTAATCCAAAGGGACAAAAACTAGGATAAAAAGGGGCTTCTGACCCACTGAATTATGCAGCTCCATCAGGGACATCGGAGACTGAAAAGAAGCCCCAACACTGGCACTGCAGCATCCCCAATGGGAGCGCTCCTGCTCAGCCCGTGGGCCCCTTGCTTTAGGCCTTTGTTTTTTATAATAAATGATGAAATCACTTCAGTACCGGGAGCCTGCTCTCGTTTTTAACAGGGAGAGCTGTAGGTATTGCATGGTGCAAATCTGTGGGAGATAATGCCCTGCCTGCCCTGCTGCCTGCATGCACACTTTGATTTACCTCTGGAGCAGCTGCACGGGTGTCACAGCATCTCTGCTGGGGCTGGTTTAGGACTTACACTGGGACTGAAGCTCCCCACTTTTGGGGAGACAGGACACTGAGGAAAACGAGAGCAGGCTCCTGGTACTAAAGTGATTTAAGCATTTATGATAAGAAAAAGAAAGGCCTTAAGCAAGGGGGCCAAGGGCTGAGCAGGAGCGTTCCCATCGAGGATGCTGCAGCGCTGGGGCTGCTCAGCAGGGATGGCACAGGTGGAGCAGCACATTCAGTGGGTCAGAAGCCCCTTTTATCCTGTTTATTGTCCCTTTGGATTGGTTTCTTTTTGGATCCTTCATTTGCATGAAGGTTTAAGGCCCTATGGTACCTTGAGTACTGTATTTCTTACAACTATCCTTTTAACCCCTTTTACTATATAATAACCAAACTAACAGTACATGCTTAACAATCTAGCAACTATTTTACCACAGTTTCTAACCTATTTTTAACTACGGTACTCCTCTGCAGATGGCTTTGCCATGAAGATGTTGCAGGCTTGGAGGCTGGGCTGATGTGGAGAAGGCTCCAGAGACTTCTACACTGCGAACTCCTGGCTAGAAGGCTGTGGATGAAATTCTGCCACACCTGGGACTTTTTCAGACATCAGCCCGTGCTGCAGGTAGTCTCCCAGCCTGTCATCCTCAATGCAGGCTGCATTTGCTGTGGCACCTTCTGTGTGCTGCTTGCACGGGTACAACTTGTAATGCACACGGAGGCTGCCAAGCTGTCATGTTCTGCTTTCCGTCTGAGCAGCAGCTCAGTCTCTGAGGACAGGCAGAACATCTCACACACCTGGCAGCAGCGTGCTCAGCACTGCCATTGATGCTGTGCTGTAATACAAGAAAAAGGAAGAGCAGTGCAGGAAAGCAATGAACCCCATATAGCAAGAAATCATTTTAAAAAATGGAAAGGTTGTTTAAGGCAAAGTTAGTGTTAAACTATCAGGCACCCTCCTTGTGAAAAATGCCAATCACTTGGTTTTAAAATTTTACAAGTTTAATAGTAATAAAATGGTTATTAAAATAAATGGTTATTAAAATAAATGGTTATTAAAATGCTATTTTAATATAATAAATAATAATTTGGACAATTAGCATTAGGACAATATGAGACAATAAAAATAAAGAGTTATGGATGTCCAGGAACCTCTTTCTGGGCAAAATAAGCCCGAAAAAGGACCCACGTTAACAGAGGATTAACCCTTGAAAGCAACAGCCTGTTGCATATTCATACACCTCATACATGATGCACAAATTCCATTCAAACACAGGATTCTATCTGGTCAGTGTCAGCTTCTTCCTCTGAATCCTGACAGCATCCTCAGGACTGAGCAAGGCAGGAAGAAGTTTGTTTCTTCTGATAATGGGGCAATAAATTCTCTTTCTCTGAAAGATTGAGGTG